GTGCAGCGCCGGTGGTGGAGTCACGCAATGTCGCCCAAAAGTCTTGATGAGCCGAAAAAAACGAATGATGATGAAAAATCGAATCCCACACAGCAAGTTGAATTTTTTCCAATGTCGCGTCTGCTTCGCCCCCGCTTCCACACCCGAGACAGACCACCCCCTCCCAACCTCTCCCCTAGCAGTGCTCCCTCCAGAGCGCGCTCCCTAGGTTCTCGCCGCGTAGACGGCAGTGGGCCTCCGCGCCCTTGATCCGCCCGTCGCTACCAAATCGGCTGGTTGTGGGCACCAGATTTTTTTTGCTTGACAGCAGCAGCGGGATATTTTTTTTGGACCCGTGCATCACCCGAAACTACCCCATCTTAGAAATCGTACTGAGAGACGTCCGCGCAGCGGATTCTGGAGCGGTTTCTTTTGTCACCTCCGTGAGAACGGTAGCTATGTTTCGGTCGGTGGCGATTGTCGCAATAGCTCCACACCCTCGCCACCGCTGTGAATTTGGCCGGAAAGTACCATATTTTTTAGAGTTTCACGGGATAGACTCCGCCGATTGAAAAACTGACCGACAATAACACGCGTATGTCCTGCTCGCAGGTGTGTACCGAACCGCAAGAGCCAGTTCGTTGATGGCATCGAGTATTTCACGTTCTCCTCTCGCTGTGTAATACCAAGTCAAATCAAGGTTTGGCGTCGTCAACCGGACGAGCGGAAAAAACTTTGTTTTGGTCAGAGAAAGCCGAATAGCCGTGCCACGCGCATACAACAATTTGGGGGGTCAGGCGCAGGGCTAACTGTGCATCCTACGTACGTACCAGGAAGCCGACTGTGCATCGATCATATGGATTTAGTGTACATTGGGGCAAATTTCCAATTTCCACCTTTTTTTCAAAGGAGGCACACTGCTGTCTGGAATGTGAGATTTTTTTGCCCCAAGAACAAGAGCGGCGCGATTACATCGCACTTTTCACAACACCACACCGCATCTCATAGAAGCGAGAGGCAAAGCGCAAAGCGCCAAATGGCGGTGGCAGTGGGGCGGCCGATCGTCAGCCCAGGCTCGATCATCATGTCTTCAGCAGGAACTGGATCACGAGGTCGCGGAAACTACGGAAGGGCCGACAGAGGCAGGTCGGATAGATACGAAGCGCCCACACAGCAGCCGTTCCGGGCCCTATGTGTGGAAGGCATCAGAACGCGCACATGAGGATCTCATTGCAGTTAGTCTCGACCTGAATCCTTATGATTTTGATCACTTCTGCACTCATTGCGATCAATCGGAGGAGAGGCTCGAGCGGTGAGCTTTCCGGTAGCTTTCGTTTGAGCACTTCCGCGTGCCGATCGGGTCACGCGGCCACGACATACGGCAAGGTGCCCACCAGCCCCTTGATGTGGAGCATCTTGAGCCTCCTCGGACTCCTGCTGCTAAAAAGCATGGGTCGGCAGAGAGTGGACGCCGCAGCCGATGAGAAGGCGTGTGAAGCGGTCCGCAGCGGTGTCATGTCACAGAAGGCCGCTGTTGCTGCCTTTGGGGTGGGTAAAACCTCCCTGCAGTGGCGCCTGGGCGGTGTGTACGCCATGGACGCGAGGGTTGGCCCCGAGACTGTCATGACCAAAGCCAAGGAGGATGCGGTAGAAAATATCCTGCTAAAGGCTGGTAGAAACTACATTCCTCTCAGCACCGCAGACCTCACGGAACGCGTGAGACTGCTCTGGAACGACGGTCGGCCTATCCCGTGGAACCGGGACAAGGACCCGGGGAAGGATTGGCTGAGGGACTTCCTCGGACGGCACGAGCGCGCCAGCAAGCGACTTGCCCCGCATCTCCGAGTCAAACAGGGTGACCACGCCGGAGGACGAGCGTCTGCCCAAGTTCTACGATTTAAGTTGTACGATTTTTGGGGAGAGGTCCCCGCTCAGCACAAGCCGGACCCCGACCACGTTTGGAACACGGACGAGTCCGGTGAGCATAGACTACTTACTGGTGAGACTACTGGTGTAGTGTCAGCAGCAGCTGCTGTGTGATGGTTTGCGGGCTTATTTTTTACGTCGTCAGCAGCTGTGCACAGCAGTTTGAAGATTTGGCCGAGTTCAGCTGCTGAAATTTGGAGTTCCCCCGTATCCGCAATGCGCATGGTGCACATGGTGTGCGCAGAGGACCGCTGCTGGATGTACGCTGGGTGCTGTTCGGGTGTCTGTGACTAAATTTGACGGCAGTAAAAACACGCGCTGCTTGAAGAGAAGGTACATGTTATGTCAGCAGCAAATACATGCGCTGCTTGAAGAGAAGACACATGTTCTTTGGCATCACACACCCGGAGTTGATGTGTGAAGTTGAAGCTACGTGCGGTGCTGCTGCTGTGCGTATCTCACTCACCTTCGACTGCTGTTGCTCTGATTGAAATGAAGCCTAGTTTTTTTTTTAACTCAAGACCGTCAGACGAAAGACTAGACTAGACTATTGCACTCCTCACTGCTGTTGTGGTGAAGAAGCTCTGCAGCAGCTCGGGAACATTTCACACGCGAGGACATTCCACCCTGTCTAATCTAGACTACCCCTAGCCCGTTCCCCCGCGCCCGCACCCATGGTATGCTGAACGTTGGTGGTGCGTGTGAGCGCTGTTTATCCTGTTCTTACTCTCCATCCGCTTTGACCCCCCCCATCCGCCCCCTCGTGTGATTGCGGCTTCGAATGCGAAGACCGTGTTCATGTAGTCGCGGAATGTCCGTTGTACAAGAAGGAGAGGGAAGTGTACGTGACTGAGCTGGGAAAAATAGATGGAACGTACAGGGAGATGTTTGAGGCATGGAATAGAGAGGAAAGGACGGTAGCTGTACTGGGGCATAGGAGGTGGGTTGAAAAGGCGGGA